CCCTTAAGGAAGAGGGAAGCAGCTGGGGCCAGCAATAGTAGAGATCTGAAGGGGTCAAGGGGCAGAGCTGTCACCAGACCAGTGGGAGCTATGGCGGTAGGTAGGAAATGAATGCAAGAAGCACATTTCCCTGCCCAGCCCAACAGGGAAGAAGAGGGAGAAATAAATATGGCGCCTGAAGTTGCAAGTTGATGGGCCGCCACATCAATTTTAGCAGAACTGGGATCCAAGTGCAGGGCTCCAACTCCTAAACCACTGTTTATTTTATAACAGGCAGATTCTCTTTGTGTCTTTCCCTGTCAAAGACTAGAAGGCAGACCTGGGCAATGATCATGTTTTGTTTTTATCCAGATGTTTTGGTATTATAGGCAAAGGCTTTCCAGATCTAGGAGGCTATCAAAAGTCTGGGGGAAATTAGACAAGTTATTTGAAAATTAAAGTTCCTGTGAGGGGCGGGGGGAAGGAAAGAAACAAACATAAAAACTTGAACTGTGAAAAATTCAGTTACATATGGTTCGAGCTGATTCAAAATAAAGTGTATTGTGGCAGCTCATGTATATTTATATCAGTTAACTGAAATATACTAGATGGTCCATAGATTACTTATATGTATCTACCCTTAAGTGTTAGGTGTTTTTAATGAATACTACATGTAAGAACAAATCCTAATCAGATAGAAGTAACTCACTGGCACATTAAAACAACTTGGGTCATGGTCACTATATTGTAACAAAGACATCATTGTGAACCATGATTATTAGGGACTTATGAAAGTATCTGGCACAACACTAAAAGATCTGGGTTCAAGCTCTTGTTCTGCCTCTTTCTAGTGACTTGAGACAAATGATTTGTCCCTCCCAGTGTGCTGTTGGAAACACACAGTGGACCCATCGATATTAGTTCCCAGCCCTCAATTTTTCCACCTGCTGTCACCTGCCAGGTTTCCACCAACAACTCCTAGTGTCTTTGCCATGCGTTACAAAATAGGTCAGATATTGTCATTCGGCTGTACGACTTCTATATAACGCCCCGTCTAGGACAAGAGCCATTAGTCACATGTGGCTATTGAGCATTTGTGATGTGGAAGATTTGAATGAAGATGCCAAATTTCAAAGAAAGAAAGAATGTAAAACATCTCAGCAATTTCTTATATCAATCACCAGTAGAAACGACTGCATTTGGTTAAACTGGGTTAAATAAATACTCTATGAATAGTTCACCTGTTGGCTTTTTAAAAAATGTGGGTACTGGAAAGTTTTGAACAGCTTATGCGGCTCATGATATGTTCCAGTTAGAAAACACTGATGTAGAAAATACAATTTTTCTCAGAATCAGTTTCAGCTCTTGAGCGTAGCTTATAGGACCCAGAGATCCAGCCCTGCTTAACTCCTCCCGGGCACCTCAGGTCATTCTCCCTCACTCTCATTACCCACCAGCCACACTGACCTAACTGTCTCTCAGACACATCAAGCTGTGGACACCTCACCTGTGTGAGGGTAGAGACCCTTCCTGTCTTAGTTGTTGTTGTATCTCAGCTCAGGACCCAATCCACACTAGTTCCCAGTCCAATGTTTATTTCATTAATTTGTGAATGGTTAAAAGAGCATGTGATTCACTTAAAAATCCCAGTTAGAACAAACCCAGGGGTGCTAATGACAATGGATGGCCTCACCTTATGCCTAGGACTCAGTCTTTTCCCTACAATCTATCTTTGAGATCATTATAGGAGGAAACATGGGACGGTTGAAAGGATACAATCTGGAATGAGAAACCCAGAATGTGAATTTTAGCTCTGCCACTGTCTGGATGTACAATCTTGGAGAAAGCCCTTGAATATCTGTTTTCTCTGAGAGTGGTCATCCTGAAGCTCCAGTAAGATGCAGCTTTGACAATCAGAGAGCCCCAATGTTAGTTACCAGACAAATGTGTTCTCCAAGGGGAAAGATTCTGTGGAGTGTTTCCAGCACCGAGCAGCACAGGGCTTGGCTTAAGGCAAAACTGCTTGAAGAATGAATGAATGAATGCGTTCAATAAGCCCCAGCACCACAATAAATAAGTTTGGGGAAATCAGATCTCGCTACAGTTCCAATCTGGAATAGACCCTATTTTTTCTTCCAAAAAGATGCAAGAATGACCTCAGAGCTAGAGTGATATTGTGGTGCAATGCCCACATCTCCTCCAGGTTCCTGAATAATCCTAAATTGTAATACTTTGTTCAGGTGTCCAAGCAGGTGTGGGACCATAGGACTTCCAGAATATATAGGTCGAGAGTTGGGTTTAAAGGATCAAAGTCAGATCTGCAGCTGGGCTGAGAGCAAGCTGTAGCAGAGAGCGTGGGGCCCCTCTTCTGCCTACAGCAGGGCCTTTTGCAGAAAAGAGGAGATATACCACCCCAACCAGAGGCTCCTGATTCCCATATCAGCAGATCCAAATTCTCACATTCTGAGAGAAGCCGCAATACCTGCCTCCATCATTGTACCCAGAGCTAAGGGTAAAAATAAGGAGGAGCCAGGTGCAGCGGCATACACCAGTAAACCCAGAGATTTGGGAGGCTCAGGCAGGAGTATTGAAAGTTTGAGGCCAGCCTCTGCAACTTCTTGAGGCCCTGACTCAAAATAAAAATAGGGACTGGGGGTGTAGCTCAGTGGTAGAGCACCCCTGGTTTGAACCTCCAGTACCACAATAAATAAATAAATACATTGCTATTTAGCTACATAAATACATAATTTAATGAATTAGATAAGAAGTAGTGAAGGGAGTTCATGTGGTTGGAACTAAACAGGATGAAAGTTTTAAAAAGTAGCACTAATCTGTGGAACAATGATTTCTCAAGATGGGGCAAGGAGGGTGGCTGGGAAAGAAGTAGGAAATGACTTCACTGAGAAGGCCTTTGCCCAGTTTGAAAGGGATAAAGCTCGCCCTTGTTACACTCCTGGCTTCTGTTTCCATACTCTGAAATATAATGGCTTCCAGCAGGACAATGCACTTTCAGAGCTATTGTTCTAGGGCTATTCCACCTGGAAACCTTCTGTTCCAGGGCAGGCTTCTTCTGTTGGCCACTGTCTCTTGACATAGTGGTTTAACATGCAGCCCATCCTCCAAGTCCTCCCACATCCTGTGCCATCTCTCCCTAGCTGTACTGTAGCTGCTCGATGCTGATTAAAAGGCAGAACCCAATCTCCATTCATTCAAAAACCGTGTTCTCTGGGGCTGGGGTTATGGCTCAGCAGTAGAGTGCTCGTCTAGCATGTGTGAGGCCCTGGGTTCGATCCTCAGCACTGCATAAAAATGAATAAATAAAATAAAGGTTTGTGTCCAACTACAACTAAAAAAATAAATATTTTTTTAAAAACTTATGTTCTCTGTCTCTGTTGCATGCTACAGTTGAGAGCAAGCAAGACAAAGATTAAATACAGCCGAATGTCATGAAGAGAGCAATGGGCCACCCATTAGAAAAGGGTGAATCACAAATGAAAAAAAGCCCTTCGGAGGATGTCAAAAAAGGAATTACAATTTGGGGTCCCAGATCAAGATTCGAGATTATTGGAGTTGATGATGTGTTAAAAACTAGTTTTCAGTGTATAACTTGGGAGGCTGAGGGAGGAGGATCACAAGTGTGAGGCCAGTCTCAGCAACTTGGCGAGATCTTGTCTTAAAGTTAAAAAAAAAAAAAAAAAATTACAAGGACTGGGAAATTGGCTCAAAGGTAAAGCCTCCCTGGGTTTAATTCCCTGTACAAAAAAATAAATAAATAAATAATAAAAAATAAATAAATGATGTACTTTTCTTCAGTCTCCCTGCAACTAGATTTTATTGTAGCCCACCAAGTTCCGGTTTCTAACAGGAGACACTGTCACTGGCTACAGGATGAACACTTCACCATAGATAGAGCAATATTCTCTCCAGGATAAAGGGCTTGTGTTTAATCCACTGTCAAGTCAGGAGAGGAAAATGCCTCTGGAAATCCTAGTTTGCAGAACTGGCTCAATACAGAGATGTGGATTTACAGGCTAATACCAAGGCACAGTAAGGGAAACCTGGCTAATTCTGTCTTATAAGACTAGTTATGTTAGATGTCACAGGGGTACCTTATTCTAAGGATGCTTAAAATCAGATGGAACTTGCTTGTCCAAGCCTGCATGACATTACTAATTTCCTAGTTTATAGTGTGTAATCCTGTGCCCCCCTTTTTTCCCCAGATAATTTTTCAATCTTTTTTTTTTTTCAGGGTAAATTTCTTCATCTACTATTTGCAATCCTAATAATCCATGAGGCAATTATGAGGCCACAGGGGCATCTATTAAATAAGGCTGGGGCTGTCTTACTCACAGAATAAGGGGGAGTAAAAGATAATATTTGCATTCAAACAAGTTACAAGAAGACAGTTTAGTAATTTAGAAATGTTTAGTTTAAAAAGGAAAAAAAAAAAAAAAAAAAAAAAAAAAAAACTCATCCCAATCTCCTCTTCTATCGGTGGCTGAAGAATTTGCCCAAGTTGGGAAAAGTTAGCCCAAGTTAACGCTGCAGCAAGCCACCTGCCTCCGTCCCTCCCTCCCCACACCTCCCGGGACAAGGCAGAAAGGGTGGCAAGGGGAACACTGCTCACAATTTATTTTTGGACCCAGCTCACTAAAAATACCTCCGCCTTCTTGTTTGATCACTCTCCCTTTTGACCTGAATGGATCGCCCAGCCTGTCGCCAGCCCCACCCTCTGTTCATTGCCCTTTAAAGGAGAAGGGCGTGGGGACGGATTCCTGCTGCCCCAGCGGGGACAGATGTGAGCTGCCCCGGGCAGACAGGGGCCCGCGGCCGCACTGACGTCAGGACCGAGCTCGGCTCCGCTGGCCACCTCCCGGCTGAGGCCACCCAAAGGGAGGGGAGCAGCCTCGCGCTGGGATTGGCTGGCCCAGCGTGAGTGGCCACGTGGATTGGCTGGAGAGGTTTTAGAGGGAGTCCCGCTCTCCAATTAAAGCAGCGCGGCTGGGCCTAGCGGAGCCCAGAGCTCCCCCCACCTGGGCCGGCGAACCTGGCCATTCAGCCACCCGCTGTCGCTGCCGCGCGCCCTTGCGCCTCTGCCTGAGAAGCCAGGCGCTGCCTCTCCATCCCAGACGAAGATGGCAAAAGTGGCGAAGAACCTCAACCCACGCTTGCAAAAGGTGAGCAGAGATCTGTCTGTAGCTTCCCAGATTATTTTTCCTGCTTCCCCTTCCCATCAGTGAGTAGAGAGGTAAAGAGAAAGAAATGTATAAAATTCCAAGACTTTAACAGAAAGCAAAAATAGTTGGGAATACTTGTGTGAGCTAACAGGCGCACACCCCCAAATCCACACTTTAAGCCATTGTTATGTGAAGTATTTGCAAAGTGTGTTTGATCTTTGATGATGCTAATTAAGACTGAATTAAGGTAAAACTTGTGGGGCGTTATTCCTCTGGTTTGTGGGGGGGAGAAGTCCTAACCTCCCTGGTCCCGGACACCTCTGGAATGGTTAACGTGAGAATTGGGGGCGTGTAATATATTTTCAGGAGAAGACTCCCCTTTTGCTGCTATCCTAGTGTTTGTGGATTTCCACCAACTTTATACACACACACACACACACACACACACACACACACAATTTCTTCAGTTGGTGCTTTGGCAGTGGCGGCATTTCTAGCACAAGGGAACTAGTTTCTGTCCCCAGGGTCTGCACGTTCCCCTTTCTAGAATGGCTGGCTGGCAGCCCAGAAGGTCAAGGGTAAATTACTGCAGGAAGAGCGTGCAGCTGTGCCCTGTAGCTCCAAAACCCTCTGGTTGCTCACCTGAAAGCACTTGGGAGAGAGGCTAAAAAGTCGTGAGCAGTAAAGGAAGAGAGTCGAGCTAGGCTTGAGAGATGGAGGAACTGAGGGGTCAGGGCCACAGAGAGTTGGCTCCATCAGGCCACCGACTTAGGTATTCAAACCCTGGCCCGGCATTTTTTAGGCTACACACAGTGTTGACCAACTTACTTTTCTGAGCCTGTTTTCCTGTCTCTAAAGTAGGTTTGAGAGACCCCCACCTCCCTCAGAACAGCTATAAAACAGCAAATGGTAACATTTTGTGTAATAATTACACAAAGCAGTAATTATTAAATTCTGATTTCAGAGAATTCAGTCTTTTAGGACAAAATCCTCCTTAGATATCTGCCTTTATCTGTGAGGTAGAATAAGGGGGAAAAAAACACGTCAGAATCAAAATGACAGTCAATTCCTTAGAGGCACAGATTTATCAACTTAGAATTGTGCCCTTCTATAGATGACCTGCCGCAGACCTCTGCAGAGGCCAGTGAATCCTTGTGAATGTGTACGCCAAGTCACATTTAATCTGGGCATCTCTCTGGAATGTACCATGCCCCGCGTTGCATTTCCCGGACTATTTGCAGAATCAAGTCATCTCTCCTTCTAAGGGACTGCCATAACACTTTAGGCCTTTGGAAGATACCTATCAATTTCTACCTATTAGTGAGTTATGTGTGCTTTGCGCTCATGTCTGTACATTTTTCTGAAGTTCTCGAGGGCAGACATTTCTTGATGATCTCTCCCCCAACCTAGCACTCCACACCACACACAGTAGAACTTAAAAAAATGAAGTGAACGGAGTGAACCACTGACAATATCTGGCCCCCCATGTTTTTACATGTGACATTACATGCATTTTTTAAAACTTGTTATATTGTAGTATATATGTTTGAATATGCTTCTCCAAAAAGTCCAAGGCTAAACTGTCTAAGGTGACAGTTTCGTTGTCCTTTGGAAAGTAAAATGATTCCTGGCTATTTTAACAATAAGCTTATGGGCATATGAAGTACGATGAAATCTGTGGAAACCTCCCTTTTCTTGGAGGAAGTCTTGTTTTTATTTTTCTTTGCATAGAAGAGTGTGATTATCTGAAATAGAGGTAGAATATGCTCTTCTTCTTGTCACCCTCTAGTGCCAATTTCCCTGGTCTGCGAAGGGTTTATTTTCCATTTATATCCAATTACAGGCTTAAAGAAAGAATGTGGCGCATAGAGATGAAAGGGTAGATATTTTTTACCTCATGGGATTTCAACAATCTTGGGGGAAGATCACTTTGTAGATTATCCAATGTGTTCAACCCAAAAAGTGGAGGGCTGGGAAGGGAGTCGGGGAGTAGCTCGCCTTACTGAACTGCAAAGCAGTGACTAAGTACTGTGTCATATCAACAGCACACTGAAGAGAGTTTTATTGCATATTTACTTTGTAAATCTGCAACGGTGGGGGGTGGTTACAACATTTGGCTTCAGGATGCATAATCACACTTAGACATTTTGAAACAATTCCATAGACTCTTCAAGCTGCAAGGGACCTATTTACAAAATGAGAAATGGCTTAAAATGGCACACACACTGTCTCTGCTGTCCTACCCCAAAGGATTGGGAGGGGTGGGAATCCCCAGCAGCTGGAAAGTCATAAAAAGGTCTTCAAGAGAGAAACAAAAAATCCAAAACTGGAGTAGCCTTAGAGATCATCTGACTAAATCCCAGACAGGCTGTGGGACTCATTGGGGATCACAAACATTCATGAGCTGGGTGGCAGTTTCTGAGTGTCTCATCCACACTGAGCCAAATGCTCTATTGACGGCTCTTAAGCTGTCATCTGCTTTTGTACCAGGAAAGAGAAGCTTCCCTAGCACAGAGAGTTGGCTGAACCTAGTAAAATTGCCAACATTCCTTGGTAACAAAGAGCCTTGAAGGCCAAATGCCATTACTTTTGGTGGAACCAACCATAATCATGGATTTGTGCTTCTACTGTTTATTAAGTAAAGTGGTCACTAGTGCCGTATCCCTTCTCAGATCTGGGTTCAAATCCCTGCTCTAACATACACTAATATTCACTATGGGCATGCTTATTAACTTCTGAGTTTGTGTCCTCACCTCATTTGAAAATTGAGGAGACAGCACCAGCATCTGCTTCCCAAAGTGATTATGAAAATTAAAGAAGATGATGTACATAAAAATTCAGCACATGAGCACTCAATTAAAATGACCCATCATTATTCTTGGCAGAGATGACATATTCAGTGGGTACATAGATGTTGAGAGAGGGTTTTTTAATGAATGGATGACACACTTTTATTTATGACTGCCTATCTGAAGAGCAATCAACTTTCATTCAGCTGAACCCAAGCCAGTTTTTCAGCCTTGATAAGCAAGGACGATGACCAATGAGCTCGCCTTCATTCTCAACCAACAGAGGCAAAATCTGCTCACAAGAATGAAGTCTCCTTCTGAACAGGGATCGCCAGGTATGGGCATGTCACTATGCAGCCTGGAGGAGGACCTGCAGTTCCCTTTCACCTTTTAGATAAGGAAACTTAGACTAGAGAGGTCCAATTCCTGCTTGGGAGTTGCTGGGAAAGCATACTGAAGCTTAGTAGGTTCTGCAAGAATCCCCTGATGTTAAGGGGCCATTGTGAGAATTTGGACGGGAAGAAGACAAAGAAGACCTGTCACTTTAATGCTCCTTGAACATTGTGTTGAGGGGTGAGAACCTAATCTGTGGACCAGTCCTTGGGCAGAAGCACAGTCAAGATGTGGTCAGGCCTTTGGGTCTCTGAGTGCACTGCCAGGTTCAACTGGGCCTCTCTTTTTACACTTGTTCACGTCATATCCCTCTTGGCTTTCCTGCCCTCTGGGTTAGTTCTCCCCTCTGTCCTCAGCCCTTCCTGCCTTCACCTCCAGTTCCTGCAGTGTGCACAACTGCTGGCATGTGGCCCGGGGAAGCCTGTCCAACGTAAACACAGCTCCCCAAGCATTGCTGTTGGCTCCCTCACTCTTAAAAACATATTAAGCTGTCACTTAAAGATCTTAATAGCCAACACATTGGAGACAAGCCCATAGGTGTATAAGCAACTCAGCCTCAAAGAGAGCCTTATTTCAAAGAAAGGAAGAAAGAAAGAAGGGAAGGGAAGTGGGGGGAATTATCCAAGTTTGTCTTAAAGCATCTCCAAAAAACAGATATTGAATCCATTACTTTGTAAAGTGCAGATTCTCGTCCTAGCCTGCAGAGGTGTCTGAATAGGTAAGTTTAGGGGCTGATGGTTGACTCTCACCAGTACATCTGCCCCTGGTGGTGGTGGAAGGCAGGGAAAGATTGGATCACAGGTCACTCCGAGTTTGAATGTGAGCTATCTCGGCTCCAAAGCCAAAAGACTAGCACAGGGCTTGCGGGCATTCATGCAGACAGAAAGCGGGGAAGGATGGTGGTGGCCTCTAAGGATACTGTAATTTAATCTTCTCTTCACATTCACTGACTGAAGGTGATACAGAGGAAAGAAAATAGGCTGAATCCAGCAAAGTTGGGGAACAGAAAGGGATTGCTGCCACAGTGGCACTTGTGTGCGTCTTTCTTTGCCACCCTTACTCTGGCCACTTCCGGTGAGGAAACTGTCAGGTATGTGGAAGTGAGGAAAGAGTGGACTCCCCAAGAGGCATTATTCACTTTGACTTTGGGAGGGAGAATCATCCTTTCTTTCCAACCCAAGCTTTCAAAATTATTTGAGGGTAATAAAGTGGAAATTTGCCATGATGTATAGCAGACCTCAGGAGTCCTTATCCCTCACCATTCATCCAACACCAATGAAATATTTATTTCAAGAATAGATTTCTGGTGTGTGTGGGTGTGTGGGGGGGTGAGTCATTACAATACCCAGGCATTTACTCATCAGGTGCCTATGCACACACAATTCCTAGGAAGCGGCAGAACTTGGGTGAAAACCAAGATTGCTTCTGCCGGCAGCACCCTGGCCCTCCTTTCACAACAGCCATATCCCACGTAACAAGTCCCTTGTACTGAAAGCAAAATCGCAGAGACATTTTTAGGACACTCCAGAGGAAGAGACAGCTTGAAGCGCCCTCCTTTATAAATATTGCCCCCTCACCTTTCAGTTGATACTAGCAAGAAACATGTCTGGCAACTGCTAGTACCTCACCAGAGGCAGGGCCACCAGCCCCTTCTAGAGGGCTTCCTCAAGACCAGGGCATTTCCTGAACCTCATAGATGTAGAAGATTTGTGGTGTTGTGAACCCTTCTCGGAGTCCCACCTATCAACAGCACGAGTCCACAGAAGCTCCAGCTTTCTATGAAACTTTTATAGAAGGAGTTAGACAGGAAGTTGGGAC